TATTGTTTCTCTCAGGGAAGTATGGTGTATTTTTTAGTTTTTCGGGGTTACATTTGTATATTAAAGGAGGATGGGGGATTTGAACCGGCTGACCTTAGGTATGGCCGTATGGGATGCCTCACCTTGGCCAGTTAATTGAATAGCCATATGTGGAGAGCACACCTCTTAGTTCAATTTTGGACCAATTTTTTAAGTGTATCTTAAAAAAGCTTTGCCGTCTTTGTTTGTGATTAAACATATGCAGTGTAAAAATTTGTCTTAATGTAATGAATGTGAATACCAATATTAACTGTATTACATAGATTAAAAATTATTCAAAATTTCTAATTAGGTAATTTCTTCCATCTTTTTTAGTAATGAATAATTGTGGTCCTTCTCGACCTATTATTGATCGAGCTGAGCGAAATAGAAAAGACAGAGAAAGGTATGCTCAAAATATTGATCAACGTGAGAGTAGGAACCTCAGGCGTAGACTTGCACTTGATGCCTCCGCTAAAGAAAAGGAAAAAAGGTTGACAAATGCTCGTATAGCAAACCATAGCAACGAAATTCCAGGTACTTATAATATACTAAAGTTTCACAATTACATTACACACATTTCTTTTATATATTTTATACTTGTCATTTTATAATAAACTAATTACTTTACACTTGCGTTGCCAAATGACTTCACATATTTTTACCACAATATATTAAAACTAAAATTTATACTACTATGTACACAAATACATACATATACCTCCATGCTATGTACACAAATACATACAAATACCTTTATCTTTATTCCAAATTTTTACGCGTTTAGTGAGAAATTCAAATGCCTCCCAACACAATCCATTTACATTGACTCCAATAAGTGATTGTAACTATTGTGGGGCGAAACGCTTTCAATATGAACCACCAGGCTTCTGTTGTTCACATGGACAAATTACGCTCATCTCAAATGAAATGCCTACAATTTTAAGGAATTTATTTGTTGGTCAACACTCTGCTGCAAAGCATTTTCAAGCTACTGCCAAAACTTATAACGATACATTTGCATTTACTTCTTTGGGAATACAAAACTACGATAAGGAATTATGCAGAAGAAATAAAGGAATCTACATATTTAGAGTTCAAGGTCAAATGTATTACTTTGTGAATGATTTGTTACATAATGGTTGTCCTCCTCGCAATTTGCAACTCTATTTCTACTACACTGAGCATGAACTTGAGAACAGACTTCAAGGTGCTGATAGGATGGACAGAGATATTGTTAGTGCACTTATTCAATTCATGTCAGGAAATCCATACAGTCAATTTTTCAAAAGTCTTAAAGATATTGTTCAGACTGACGAGTTTAGCATAATATTGCGTTCAGATATTTCAATGGATCAAAGAACTTACAACATGTCATCTGGTTCTCAAGTAGCTGCAATATGGATTGAAGAAAATAGAGATGGCCTTGATGAAAATAGAAACAATAGGGTATATGCACATAGTGGGAGGTCACAATATATTCAATACTATTATGGTTGTTATGACCCCTTACAATAACCACTTCTATTTCCACATGGTGATATTGGTTGGCATGAAAATATTCAGAGGGTTTCATCGCGTGAACATTTTGGTACTGCAAGATCGAGACAGTCATTAAACATTAATCCAAATAATATTGATTCAATTGAAGAGTTGATTCAAGCTGAAGAATGTGTGTTTGCAGAAGGAAGAAAAAGAACATCAGTGTCCTGTAGAGAATATTATGCATATAAATTTCAAGTTCGATTGGCAGACAAATCAATGTTGCTACACACTGGAGACTATTGTAGCAATTTATCGTTGATACATATATTAAGGTTGAAACTCAAAGACTGGATTATTTTAGGAAAAAACAGTGAGAAAGTCGTTCTGAGACCTATCAAGGACTTGTGGATAGCGTAGAAACGAGGGCCACTGTTGGTGCTGATGTCGACCGCAGGGTTATTTTACCCGTTTCTTTTATAGGAGGACCGCAGGATATGTGAAGAAGATACATGGATGCAATGTCACTTGTGCAATGATTTGGCAAGCCTGGTTTGTTTATAACAGTAACATGTAATCCTAATTGGCCAGAGATTAAAGAACTTCTGAAATATGTTGATGAACCACAAAACAGGCCGGATCTTCTTGCTCGTGTTTTCTGTGCTAGACTTGAAGATCTAAAAAAATGACATCTTTAAGAGACAAATTTTTGGAGAGGTTGCAGCATATGCATATGTGATTGAGTTTTAAAAAAAAGGGACTTCCGCATGCTCACTTTCTTATTATTTTGAAGAGCAAATTCAAAATTACAACTCCTGCTCATTGTGACAGATTTATAACTGCTGAGATTCCTAATAAAGAAAGTGAACCACAGTTATACAATCTGGTTAAAAAGTATATGATTCATGGTCCGTGTGGTTCTTTAAATCCAAATTGTGCTTGTATGCTTCACCAACAACAACTTGCTCCATCTTGCAAAAATAAGTATCCTCAATCATTTAATGATGAAACTACTTTTGACGAAAACTCCTACCCTATATATCGTAGGAGGGACACTTCAGCAAACGTTGTTGTTAGAGGATATCAACTTGATAACTGGTGGTTTGTCCCTTTTAATCCATATTTGTTAGCGAAATTTGATTGTCATATAAATGTTGAAATATGTGCAGGGATCAAATGTGTGAAGTATATATATAAATATATATATACAAGGGACATGACAGAATCAACCTAAGTTTATACGTTGGTGCTGATGTTCATGAGTTTGATGAGATTAAAGAATACCAAAGTGCAAGATGGGTTTCACCACCTGAAGCGGCTTGGAGAATTTATGCCTTCCCAATTGCTGAAATAAAGACCGCTATTATGCACTTACAAGTTCATCTACAAAACTATCAGCACCTTAATTTTCACGATAATGACAGGTTGGTTAATATCGTTGAAGATGACTTCGCTTCTCGCACAATGTTAACACAATTTTTCTACATGAATCGTGTTGATGAAGTTGCGAAAAAACTCAACTTACTTTATATTCAATTCCCTGAATATTTTGTGTGGAACAATCAAAGTAAAATGTGGACATAAAGAAAGAAGAAAGAAGTCATAGACAGACTTGTGACAGTCAATCCAACTGAAGGAGAGCGTTACTATTTACGACTATTATTGATGAATATTAGGACACCCAAATCATTTGAGCACTTAAAAAATGTCAATGGCCATCAATCAATAACATTTCGTAAGGCAGCTGAAAAATTGGGTCTGTTATCTGGGGATCATATTGTCAAAAAGTGTCTAGATGAAGCAGTATTATACCAGATGCCATCAAGTTTTAGGAGACTATTTGCAACCTTTCTAATTTTTTGTGATATCACGAATCCTTGGAACTTGTGGAATAAATTTAAATCATACATGTGTGAAGATCTACTCAGGACAAAATTACATACTGATGAGGAAGTCCAACTAATGGTGCTTCAATTAATTGCAAATGTAGTAGAAAAAATGGGGAAGAAGATTGATGACTTTAACTTGGTCGATAACAAGTTATCTCTATCAACCCAAGAAAAAGAGGATAGAGAAATTGCAGCTGAATATAACATATAAGTAAGTGAACATGACTTGCTTTGTGTGGAAAAATTAAATGTTGAGCAACGCAAAGCATTTGATACTATTATGGCAAGTATCGTTTCAAACTCAGGTGGAGTTTATTTTATAGATGGCCCAGGTGGTACTGGTAAGACCTTTCTATATAAATGCTTATTAGCTACTGTCAGGTCTAAAAAATGGATAGCACTTGTAACTGCAAGTTTAGGAATTGTAGCATCTATTTTGCCTGGTGGTCGTACTACTCATTCTACATTCAAAATACCAATTGATGGAGATGATAAGTATGTCTGCAATATTGGAAAACGAACTGCATAAATTATTTTATTAAAAACATGTAGATTGATTCTTTAGGATGAGCCTCTATGGCTAATCGTTGGGCTATTGAAAGTGTTGATACAACGCTTAGAGATATTATGGATACTGATCAAAATTTTGGAGGAAAAGTGGTTGTTTTTGGAGGTGATTTTCGGCAAACATTGCCAATTATTAGATATGGGAAGAAAGAAGATTTTATTGAAGCGAGTTTGGTTAAATCACCATCAATCTGGCCAAACATCCAACGATTAAAATTGGTCCAAAATGTTCGTGCAAATGAGGATCCAGCATTTTGTGAGTACTTGATGAAGATTGGGAATGGAACTGAACAATTCATTGCTTGAGACAAGATTAAGATTCCATCCTCATTCATTATTCCATGTTCGAATGATGATATTTCTCTCGATGCTTTATTTCAATCTATATATCATGACTTAACAAGTTTCGGGAATGATCCTTATTCGTTAATGAGGAGAGCCATCTTAACAACTAAGAATGAGATTGCAAATGAAATTAATTCTATCTTAATAGATAGATCCTGGGAGAAAGTAAGTGCTATGTTGGTTTTGATGAACCACTTGATTCAAAGCAAATGCATTGTAAAGATTATTTACACACTTTATCCCCAGCTGGCCTACCTCTTCACAAGTTACTTCTGAAGAAAAATTGTCCTATAATTTTATTGAGAAATCTGAATCAATCTGAAGGATTATGTAATGGGACGAGATTAGTTTGTGATTCATTTGAAGATAATCTCATCAGTTGTATGGTTGCAGTTGGTGAATACAACGGAAAACATGTCTTCATTCCAAGAATTCCTCTTGAGCCGTCAAATGATGAAAATTGTCCAATACCCTTTAATCAATTTCCTATTAAAGTGTGTTTTGCCATGACAATTAACAAAGCTCAAGGGCAAACACTAGATTTTGTTGGAATCTACTTGAAAGAACCAGTTTTTAGTCATGGACAGTTTTATGTAGCTATGTCTCGGGTAAAAAAAACTGATTCTGTCAAGATGATTATATTCAGTGATGATGGTCAGAACAAACTAACTAATATTACAAATAATATTGTTTATCAAGAAATCTTGGACTACATTTCTCAAACAACTGTTGCACTAGACAAAAACTAACACCATGTCCGACGTTTATTGATGTAAGTTTTGTTTACCCTCTTATTTCAAATATAAATAAATATCATTTTGATATACAAATTATTTGCAATTGACAACTATTTATCTTACATGTGCCACAGGATCTCTGGAGAACAATATGTGAAAGCTGTTGAATTGAGACAATTGAATTCAAGTGATATGTATATCTAGATTTGACAAATCCTGTATGGTTCATTAAATTAGTGTGACATGTTATTCAAAACGAGACCAGGTAATTTCTAAATTCAATTTACTCTTTTTTCTTGTTTTCAAATTTTTACTATTAAGTTCCATAGCTTATTAATTGAGGAATAGTCCAATTTTTAATCATCAATTTCAATTGTTTTTCTTTTCAGTGTTGATAGCGACATTAAGAAAAGCATATATAGAAAGCATAATGTTGACAACATAAGACAATATTTAATTATTATACTGTGAAGTGCTATGAATGTATAAGTAATTTACGTAAATTTGAATTTTAATTTTATTCATTGATAATCTACCAATTGCTTCTACGATATTGAAAAATTATAGTTAAATAAGAATTGCCAGAACAATAATTTCTTTGTGGTTCAAAACTATTAAAAATGATTAAAAATTAATAAAAACGAAAAAACAAACTCTATCAGATTAATTACATGGTCAATGATTTTTTTTTTTTTAAATGTTACTGACCCTATTACATTGTAGTATCTGTTCAAATACTTTCTCAACCTACTGAAACACAAAGAACCAATAACGTCTCCACTAAGGCTCGAACTCATAACCTTTCAAATGGAAGTCCAACCCGGGTACCATTAGACCACATAGTCTTGGTACATGGTCAATGAATATAGTTGGACCAAAGCACGTTTTTATATTTTATTTTATTCTGGATACATACTTCATAGTTTTTGAAACTGTATCAATTTGAGTAGGAATGAGAACATGTGTATATACCTATTTTGGGTACTTAAGATAACTACAATTATGAATTCTAATGACAAAAGATTACATATTATAGTATTGTATGATCCGTTTAGAGAGCTAACTATAGCCCACAAACAGTAACATAACCATACTTGTTCGATTTTATACTAAAGTTAACACAAGATAACTTTATTCAGGTTTGAATAGAGGATTTGATGGTTCATATATTATTGGATTCCCAGACGACAATATGAATTTAGAATGGAGACAACTCAAACTGGAAGAAAAAGACATTTAAACAAATTTTATTCATTGCTTTTACATCAATGTGCTTTTACCTGTGGAGTTAGAATATATTTAGCATATATACTCGGATAGTAATTAAATTTTGCAACAGTACTTAGGAATGGGTAGCTAAGTTATTTAAAATGTATTTAAAAAAGAAACAGAAGTTATTAAAAATGTGATATTTTGACTCCCAACAAAATTGGTACTTTTATACAAGTAAACTCCTAGTCCATATGCAACATCACAAATCTCATGGGGCAAAGGCAGTTTGTGAAATTATGATTTTGACCCTCGATTTTATATACTCCAGGAAACCACTTTCCCAATTCGGTCCTAGCATTAGCATACCCGCCTGGCGAGCCGGAATCAACCCTCTTTTCTCTATATCGTCTCCTTCCGTCTCGATCTTGGATTCTTAGCTACTCCTTCTCGGCATCTACAATCGCCGTTCGTCGTTGTCACGCCACGGAGGACACTCCGGAATTACCCACCTTTTATCTCCAATCATCTCTCGTTCAATCGAATTGGGACGATTGAGTCGTTGCCCTAGCTTCTCATCGATTGGGGGTAATTTAGGGCTGATAAGGTCATCAAGGTTGGAAGTCCTGAAAGTTTGAGGCTTGAAGGTTCGAAATCTCTCGTTTCTTTACCGCGTCAAAGGTTTGCTTACTTCCTCTTTGGCTCGGGAAATCATTGGGTGGATTATGGGGAAATTCGATCTGACAAGTTATGGAATGTCTACGTTTTAGTTTCTGGTACCTCGGTGAAAATGATGGGTCTGAATATCTGAAATTTTTTCAGTTTATTCTGTTTCTCTTTGCATGCTGATTTCGTTTGAAAATGAGTGTTTGAACACTATTCACCTCTGAACTTTAACTCAAATCCTCCTGTCCTCCTGTTCTAGATTAAAGCCGTATTTCTAAATTGATTCTACACTTTAGGCTTACATGATTTCAGCTCTTGAGTCTGCCGGGGCTTCATAGTGCCCATGACACACACCATGAATTTAATTTAATCTTAAATGAATGTGATTTTCTCTATGCCACATGATCCTTCAAGATAAAGCAGCTAACTTGTTTATATGTTCTGTTCCCTTTTTTCACATGAATGGATGGGTTTGTTTTTTATTTAAATAACCCAGTCTTTCATTATTTCTTTTTAATGTTAAAATTAATTAATCATTAAGTCATTCAGTGTCAGTTATAGCTCTGTTTTTATATTCTTTTATATATTAGCATGTCATGAAATTGATATTTTGTTGTCATACTTGTGCATTACTGATTTTGTACATTATCTTTTGTGATATACTTTGTTAAGAATGTGTATAATTAACTTGACTGGTTTCTGGTGTTACTATACTACAGGTGACTTATTGTGAGGATATTAAGTAATTACACAAAACTGCTCCTTTCAGCTAGTTTTGTGTTGCATAATGGACACGTGATACTTCATGCTATGACGCTCATGTTTATAAGGATACAAGAAACAAAATGAATTTACAAGCACATATTTCAGGGCAGATCTCAGGGCAGGTGCCCAATCAGAGTGGTACTTCCTTACCAGGTCTCTCCCAACAGAATGGAAATCCATTGTCCACTCAAATGCAAAACCCACCTGTCCATCGTAATATACCCAATATGGATACAGATACATACAAAGCACGAAAGTTCATTGCAGAAAAAATGTAAGAAATTGTGTTTCTTATAATTTCTTTTGGTTAGTAAATATTGTTTCTTTACATTCTTCAAACATGTTTTTCTAAATTTCTTCACACCTATGCTGTGTTTTCTTTTTTTCCTCCCCCTCAAGAAGAGGATCTTTAGTTGTATGAAATATACAGATGAGGGTACAGTACTAGCTTGTGGTTGCATGATAGTGAAACTTGACAATTTTGCATGAGGATATTATCAATTACACTTCTTTTGACCCATTTATTTGTTTTAGTTAGAGTAGGAATATTATCTATTTTTAGTTATAATGATATGTGGGTCTAAAAGTAGGTTTAAATGTTCAGTTTCCTTATGAATTTAGTATTCTTTATATATTAATTGCTAAACTCAAGATTATTGAATTTACATGTAACTGCCCAAATTTTGGTCCTTGTGTTTTCACAGAGCGAGATGTGTATTTTCTTGTTCTTAGGCTGATGATCTCTCCTTTGAATTGTTTTAGATCATGGAAAATTAATACTTTGCCAATTGCCATGAATGCTATTTGTGTGCGTGTGGTGTAATGCCTTATGGTTCTGCTAAATGACTAAATTGGATATTTTTGTGGTTATGAAGAATTTCTTCCTCATTAATCTGCCTTGTTATTCTGCTAAATCAGATAGTTTATGTGATTGAGAGCCTATAATGATTAGTCCCCCTAGTTTATGTGATTGAGAGCCTATAATGATTAGTTCCCCTAGTTTATGTGATTGAGAGCCTATAATGATTAGTTCCCCTCATTTATGAACAATTAGCTATGTATATGTCTGGTGAAATCTCTAACCATGCTATTGTCCAGCTATGGATTTCTCATGCAAAGGCAACAAACACAGGAGATACCTTCAAAGAGGGTATTGGACATAGTGAAACGCTTAGAGGAGGCCCTGTTCAAGAGTGCTTCTTCAAAGGTTTGTTATTTGGGGTTTTGATTCAACTATGCAATTTTGGGTTGTTTTTTATGCAATTCTGCTATAAGAGCATACGAGTATTTGCTTTTGGTGTTGATTTTTATGTATTAGTTTTTGTTAATTTTGTTTCATATATACTAATAGGAGGAATATCTGAATCTGGGGACTCTAGAGAGCCGCTTGCATATTCTAATTAAGCGGCTACCTAATAATCAAAACCCACAGTTTTCACATGTCAATTCATCCTCCTCCATTGGTACTATGATTCCAACCCCAGGCATGCCTCAGAGTGGGAATTCTACACTTATTGGATCATCATCCGTGGACAATTCAATTATTGCTGGAAATCCTGGGAGCACCATAACAACAACCTCCAGTATTAATTCTGGGAACTTCCTTCCCACAGCTAATGGGCCCTCCGGGGGTATTCATGGTGGTTCTTTCAGCTCCACTGATGGTAAAACTTTTATGACTTGTATATATATATATATATATATATATATATATATATATATATATATATATTTAAAAATTGAAAGTTATCTGATCCTTTAGTGTAATGTAACACATACTTGCAGGTTCTTTGGGAAATGGATATCAACAAATGCCTTCAAGCTTTTCAATTAGTTCTGGAGGAAATAACCTGGTAGCGTCGATGGGTGCACAAAGAATGACAAGCCAAATGATACCCACACCTGGTTTTAATAATAATACTAATAGCAGCGATAATTTAAATAACAACAGCAGTAACCAGCCTTATATGAATTTGGACTCATCTAATAATGTTGGGGCACTTTCTAGTGTTGATTCCACTGTAGTATCACAGTCACTACAGCAAAAGCAGCATGTTGTTAGTCAAAACAGTCGTATATTGCAAGCACTTGGCAGCCATATGAGTGGTGGAATTAGGCCTGGATTGCAATCTAGATCCTATGGAACATCAACTGGGTCATTGAATGGTGGTCTTGGAATGATTGGAAACAATATGCAGCTATTGAATGGTCAAGGAGCTTCTGAAGGTTATATGTCAACGACCATGTATGCTAACCCATCTAAGCATTTACCCCAGCATTTTGATCAACATCAGAGATCAGTAATGCAAGGTGCTCTGCCTTTCTCCCCTCTTCTCATTCCCTGAAAATCTAATAAATAATTCTGCATGCCATGCTTCCTTCAACAAACTTAAGCGTGTGTTTTTTTTTTTTTTTAATCTTTTTAATGACAGGTGATAGGTATGCAATTAGTAATGCTGATACCTCAGGGTCTGGAAACTTATTCATTCCTGTATCTTCTGTTGGGTCTGTGATGAATAATCAAAACTTAAGTGCTGTAGCCTTGCAGTCCATCCCCAAAACAAACTCCTCTCACATGGCCAACCAGTCAAATGTGAATGTCTCACAACAAATGACTAATATGAAGCTTGATCAGTCAGAAAAGATGAAGTTTCAGTCCCAGCATTCTCTTGCTGATAATCATTTACAATCTCATCCACTTCAGCAATTTCACCCCCAGCCCCAACAATTCCAGCAGCAGCAGCAGTTTGCTCACAATCATCACCAACAGAAAAGTCAGCAGCAGCAACTTTTGCTAAAGAGCAATGGCTATGGCCAAGCTCCAATCATGTCTGATTTGGGTACTAAAATCAAGTCTGAGCCTGGTAATCATGATGAAGCACTACTCTCTCAGGTCCCTGAGCAATTTCAGTATTCTGAAATGCAAAATTTGTACCAACCTAATTCTACTGGAGAACATTCTAAAAGTAATCAGTTACTCCCTCAATCCAGTCAACAAGACACGTTTTCATCATTGACACCATCTTCAGAACAAATGCAGCAGCTGTTGCAGCATCATATGTATGTTGCTGAAACACAAACTGATTTCAACAATTGTTCTAATGGAGTCCATTCAGATGCAATGCTTCAGGGTCAGTGGTATCCAAAGTTTCAAGATGGGTCTCAAATGCCTGGTAGCTTCTCACAAGAGCAGAATGTTCAACAAGAATCGCATCAGAGAACTGTGAGAACAGAGGAAGCACAGAGAAACAATTTACCTCCTGAAGGAACAATTGCTGGCCAAGCAATTGTGAATAGAGTGGTCAACCCAAATAGTTCAAGTAGTGCTGTACGCAAATCCAGTAACCGTACTCGTGAGGGTCAGCTCATAAATCAGCGGAGATGGTTACTATTTCTGCTTCATGCACGTCGATGTGCTTCTCCAGAGGGGAAATGCCCAGAGCAGCATTGCATAAAAGCCCAGAGTCTCTTAAGGCATTTGGAGCGGTGCAATGCATTGCCATGTCAACATCCTCGTTGTGCTTTAACAAAACAAGTAATTAACCATTTCAGGCGTTGCAGGGAAGTAAATTGTCCTGTTTGCATTCCTGTAAGAAAGTTTATACTGGGTCAACGAAAATCATTTGCTCGTCCTGATTTTAGTTCCGAGATGCCTATTTCCATTAATGGATCTTGTAAGGCCTATGATACTGGTGAAACTGCTCATAGGTTGACTGCTAAGTCAAGCCCTGCAGTAGTTGAAACTCCAGAAGATTTACAACCTTCCCTCAAGCGCATGAAGATTGAACAATCCTCTCAAGCTTTTGTGTCAGAAACTGAAAGCTTTGTTTCACCAGTTTCTGTTGGTGAATCTCATATCTTCCAGGAAACACAGGTTGTTGAACAACATGCTGATGCTATTGTGATGAAACCTGAGGTCATGGAAGTCAAGATGGAAATTCCTGCAAATGCTGGCCAAGGAAGTCCAAGGAGTACTGATCTGCTGAATGATAACTCGGATGAGACTTACATTCAACGGCCTGCTATTGATCCTCTTACATCAAGTATTACAGCTCCTTTTCCTAAACAGGAGAGCATTAAGGCTGAAAAGGATGTAGATCCAGCTAAACATGAAAATACATCGTTGCCTCCGGAAAGTGCTACTGGATCTAAGTCAGGAAAGCCAAAAATAAAAGGAGTATCATTGACAGAACTGTTCACCCCAGAACAAGTGCGGGAGCATATCATTGGTCTTAGACAATGGGTTGGCCAGGTCAGTATGTAAAACTGCTACTGTTCCTTTCGCACTTATGGTTTGGAGTTGAGAAGCTTACTTTTTAGATACTTGAATCACATCTGAGCTGTTGAAGAAGAGTATTGCTTCTTAAAGTTTGAATTGCTAAAACAGAAACACAAATTGCTTCTCAGTGATAATAATAAACAGGTTTTATCAGGGTGAGCGTGGGCTCTAGCATAGGGAAAAAGGGAAGAATTGCTTACAGGGTGAAAATAAAGCTTGTCTGATATTCTCTAACATAATGCAGCTTTTGCTACCTGATGATTCTTTGTGTTTGTTTGATTAATGCAATGTGTCTGACAGTATTGCTGTAGCTATTCCTGTAATTGAATGGGATATGTTGGGTGCAAATATGGTTGTCATTTATATGACTATGGTCATGAAGTTCATTATTATATGGTCATGAAGTTCATTATTATAATATTAATAATTCTAAAACATGGAAAGAATTTGTTAAATCAAAGATTTATTTTCTTTGTAGGATCTATTTATTATTTATTATCCAAGATATATGGGAGTTTATTGGGTGTGCACTTTAGATAGCAGATCAAATATGAAGCCAGACAGCTAGGAGCATGATGATTATATTTAAGTGATTCAATGTATTAAAGCTATAATATTCTATTTCTTATCTGCTGCATAAAGCAATCTAGCCTCTGACATAGGTTTTTAGGGTTTTGTTTTCTGATTTTGCATATTGCATTTTTGTGAAATTCTTTCCTCTGTTTTGTTTGACAGAGTAAATCGAAAGTGGAAAAAAATCAAGCCATGGAGCAGTCTATGAGTGAAAATTCATGCCAACTGTGCGCAGTTGAGAAGCTTACGTTTGAACCACCACCTATTTATTGTTCGCCCTGTGGTGCTCGTATTAAAAGAAATGCTATGTATTATACTATTGGAGCTGGGGACACCCGGCATTATTTTTGCATTCCGTGCTATAATGAGGCTCGTGGAGACAGCATTGTGGTTGATGGAACTAATATTCCAAAGGCGAGGTTGGAGAAAAAGAAAAATGATGAGGAGACTGAAGAATGGGTACGTTTTGCTTTAATCTATTATTATTTTTTAATTAAAGAAATTATTAGTTATACACTGAAGAGTGAGGAGATGGAGAGATGTTTTATATTTTTCTTTATGTTTTAGAATTTACTTTTTTGTTCCTTATAAATTGTTTGTATTTGCTGCACGTAAATATATGCTGTTTCTTGCAGTGGGTTCAATGTGACAAGTGTGAAGCTTGGCAACACCAAATTTGTGCATTGTTTAATGGTAGAAGAAATGACGGGGGGCAGGCTGAGTATACATGTCCTAATTGCTATATACTTGAAGTTGAAAGAGGAGAGCGGAAACCCTTACCCCAGAGTGCTGTTCTTGGAGCAAAAGATCTGCCTAGAACAATCCTAAGTGATCACATTGAGCAGCGGCTAACTAAGAGATTAAGGCAGGAAAGACAGGAGAGAGCAAGGCGTGAAGGAAAAAGTCATGATGAGGTATGTGAAACATGGCCTAATATGTACGGTGTGAATGTGAGGCTATTTTGAAATAATGTGGTGCTTGTCTTAATTTGTGAAGTTCTATGGGTTTCTAAGCTTTCAAGTTTTACGGAGAGCCATTTATGAAGTGTTGGGAATCTTGTTATACAGGACATGATAGCAACTAAATTGACAGAGGTTGCAAATCATTATCCAATCATAAGAGAGCTAGTTTAACTAAGATATAAAGAGACCAAAACTACTTGGTTAAAGGAAATTTGAGAGCTATGTAACTTGGAACCTGAGTACTGATCTATATGCTGACTTTCCTAATTAAAGTTGGAGTACCAGAAAGCAGGATACAAAACATGGCTGGCATATCAAACACTACTGCAAAATACTTTAGTACTTTGAGCCACATAAATCCTTTTATAAGACTACTGCAGATAATTAGTAAAGAGTGAATTTACTTTGAATTGTATATTTAGTTTAAAAATGGAACATAACTTTATCTTCTCAGTTTGGCAGAAGATTCATTGGGGTTGCACAACAATGTATTTCTTTTAATTGTTTTATGTTATCTTTCCAGGTTGCTGGAGCAGAAGGGCTTGTTGTAAGAGTTGTTTCATCAGTTGACAAGAAGTTGGAAGTAAAGCCGCGATTTCTTGAAATTTTTCAAGAAGAGAACTACCCCTCTGAGTTTCCATATAAATCAAAGGTATGCTTTCTAAGATTTATAGTTTGTTGAATTCAGAATGAATGTCAAATCATTCATTCTGGATCTTGATCACATATAAAAAAATTTAGATGCTAATGTAGTCTGTTATATTATAAAATTTGTTTGTTGTAGAATATTAAATTTAATATTTCTTATATGTAATTGAAAGATACAAAGTGAAGGGAAATGCATGATTAATTTCATATTTCATTATTAGTTATTCAGAGGAAAAGGTGCTGCCGCCATATTTGCTCCATGATAATGACTTGGCATATTCAGCTGTTGGGCCATATACTAATTTGAATTCATGACTTAGAAATAATTGTATAACCTTTTGTCTCTTGGTTATCGCCTGCCTGAGTTATTACAATGCGCAATTGCATAGGAAAGTCATATTATGCGGACATGCCTTTAACATTTCTATTATAGATATAGAAATGGTTACTCATCTAGAATCCAGGGACCATACCTAGCTAGCCCACAGTATACTAATTTTATGAAGGGATAATTTCATTTAAAGGCCCCTAAGGTTTTGGCCAGTAACAGTTAGATAATCCAAACTATTTTAAAAAATTATATGTGCTCCCTATCAATCAATGACTACACACACACAGAGGAAAGTGAACGGGACCAAAGTGAATGAATAGTCTCTCTAGATTTTTTCTAGAGTCTAGAGTCAATAGCTCTTTGTTTACACTTGACAGTTATCCAACTAAAACACCATCTCTATAAACATCAAAACAATTTACTTTATCTCTATTAACTTTAAAACAATTTACTTTATATGAGTTGGTGTTTCTTGTTCTATACCATTGGGTACAAAAACTAATTCATCCACTTTGAGCCTATTCTGGATTGAAATCAATGTAGAATTTTGAATAATGAACAAAACTTTTGCATTTTACAGGTCTTGTTGTTGTTTCAAAGAATTGAAGGTGTGGAAGTGTGCCTATTTGGCATGTATGTTCAGGAATTTGGATCTGAATGCGCACAACCTAATCATCGCCGTGTCTACCTTTCATATCTCGACTCTGTTAAGTATTTCAGGCCAGAGATCAAAGCGGTGACAGGAGAGGCTCTTCGTACATTTGTATATCATGAAATTTTGGTGAGTTTGTTTATATTGTTTTTCCCCTTTGACATTATTAGCATATTTATTCTTCCCATATTGACATTCTTGGGAGTTGTTTCAAAATACTTCTTACAGATTGGATATCTAGAATATTGCAAAAAGCGTGGTTTCACAAGTTGCTACATATGGGCCTGCCCTCCACTAAAGGGTGAAGATTATATATTATATTGTCATCCTGAAATTCAGAAAACACCAAAGTCTGACAAGCTCAGAGAGTGGTGAGCTTAATACCTTTTATTTTATTTTATTTTATTTTATTGTGTGTGTGTGTGTGTGTGTGTGTGTTATATGTAAGTTTTGTTCTTCTGCCCTTTTCTGGTAGACTAATTTGACTCATTTTTTATTTTTTCCTATTGCAGGTATTTAGCGATGTTAAGGAAAGCTGCAAAGGAAAATATTGTTGTTGACCTCACTAACTTATATGATCATTTCTTTGTCTCTACGGGTGAATGTAAAGCTAAGGTGACTGCAGCACGGCTACCATATTTTGATGGGGATTACTGGCCTGGTGCAGCTGAAGATATGATCTATCAGCTTCAGCAAGAAGAGGATGGAAGGAAACAACATAAGAAGGGAACCCTGAAGAAGACCATAACAAAAAGAGCTTTAAAAGCATCTGGTCAAACTGATCTTTCTGGCAATGCTTCTAAGGACCTGTTGCTAATGCACAAGGTAACTGTTTCGGTCTCCCAATATTTAATTGTCTATTTTTCTTTCTCTTCCCTGTTTGTAAGTACTTCTATGACTACGTTCTTCACAACCTATTGTTGCTAAGGCAGTCTTTATTTAAACATATTATATAGCTATTCATCAGTTATCTGTGTCATGGGTCATCCTGATAATAGGTTAGTATATGTTAAGAATCTTCGTTTTAGACCTAGCTTGCCCATGCTAGACCTTCTCTTTCGAACCTCATTTCTGGTTTTTTTGTTACAAAAAATAGTGACTAAACAGGTTTAATCTCAAGTTTTCATTGTTTTTAGAAAAAAATATTCATGCTTATTTGTAATTTTGCAGCTTGGCGAAACAATTAGCCCAATGAAGGAGGATTTTATCATGGTTCACCTGCAACATGCGTGCACCCATTGCTGCATTCTAATGGCATCTGGAACTCGTTGGGTTTGCAATCAGTGCAAAAATTTTCAGCTTTGTAACAAGTAAGGATCCGTTTCCCTTTCAAAAAAAAAAAAAAAAGGATCCGTTTCCCTTTCATTGTTTTTGTTCCTTGGGGTTGTTGAACTTCTTTTCGTTGCTTTACAGAGTTTGCTTCTTGGAGCTGTAAAATATCTTTTGGTTTCCTTTACATAAATATTCAACCAAAAATAAGAGTAAGATTTGATTTAGTGATCCACTAAAGATGCACCTCTTTTCGAAATGCCAAAATTTTGGAATTAAAAGAACCTGGTAATGTGGCAGTGACACTATTAGGAGGAACTTGGATGCCTTTTCATTTGCATAATTTTTTTTTTTTTTTTGCTTCATCATCATATATGGTAGAGTTTCTGGCATCAAGTGTTCTGTGGCCCATACAAGAATCATTGTTGTTAAATGGAATGAGTGAAACGGAATATTTTTTTGTTCATAATAAATTAGAGTGTCTTTTTATTATTGGATCATATTAGATAAACCATATTACTGTGCAATGTGTGATGCCTCTCAGGTTCAATTTTCTGCTCGTGTTTTGTGCTCACCTCTCTTAAGTTTACATGCCTTTTTATGCTTTCAGGTGCCATGACGCTGAGCAAAAACTTGAGGACAGAGAGAGACACCCTATCAACCAGAAGGATAAGCATATGCTTTATCCAGTATGCTACTCTATTAATTCTTTGATGAAAATTACTTTAACGTAGTTCATCCTTCAGAAATAAGAGAGATGTAATTGTGTAGGTTGAAATCAATCAAGTGCCTGCTGATACAAAGGATGAAGACGAGATTCTTGAGAGCGAGTTCTTTGATACAAGGCAAGCGTTTCTGAGCCTTTGTCAAGGAAACCACTACCAATACGATACCCTCCGCCGTGCTAAACATTCCTCAATGATGGTCCTTTACCATCTTCACAATCCCACTGCTCCTGCATTTGTGACAACATGCAACATATGCCATCTTGATATTGAAGCTGGTCAAGGCTGGCGATGTGAGGTTTGCCCAGAATATGATGTATGTAATGCTTGTTATCAGAAGGACGGTGGAGTTGATCATCCTCATAAGTTGACTAATCATCCATCCATCGCTGACCGTGATGCACAAAATAAAGAAGCTCGGCAGCTACGTGTTTTACAGGTATAATACTTGGATTACATTTAAGCTCATGAAATCTTCAATTTCTATTTCATTTATGTTTCTTTTGGATTATGTATTTTCTCTGCCATTCTAATTTTCTTTTAATTGAAGTTGAGTCCATGTTAGTCATTTGTCTCTGACTTGTAAGGTCTGATGTTATTTTCATTTTGACTCTGCAGCTTAGGAAAATGCTTGAACTTCTGGTGCACGCTTCACGATGCCGTTCTCCTCAATGCCAGTATCCTAATTGTCGCAAGGTTAAGGGGCTTTTCCGACATGGGATCCAGTGCAAACGACGAGCTTCTGGGGGCTGTCTTCTCTGTAAGAAGATGTGGTATCTTCTTCAGCTTCATGCCCGGGCATGTAAAGAATCTGAATGCCATGTTCCTCGGTGCAGGTTGCTGTCTAATGTCCCTCAAAAACATAATTGTTTTTTTGTCTTTAATTTCCTAACTAGTACATGTTATTCATGTCTCAACAATGACTTTCAAACAGGGATTTGAAAGAACATCTAAGGCGGCTACAACAACAGGCTGAATCACGGCGGCGGGCTGCTGTAATGGAGATGATGCGACAGAATGCCGCTGAAGCTGCCGGAAATTCAGCATGATGAAGTTGTACATAGTGCAAGTGTGTTCTCAGTGTAGTGTGAGGTACATGGTAAGCTCTGGTAATGGAGAAAACTGGGTGTGAAGTGAAGGCTGTAGGGGCGAGTCCCACACGGCATAAGAATTTGCATGTGGTTGAATTTTGCTTCAAGTGATTCATTTGTTTGTGTTTCTCGTGGTTTTCTCCATCCATCCCTCTATGCTGACAAGTCCAAGTCCAAGTCCGGGCCATCGTTGTGGATATAGAGTGCAAAACGTTTCTCCCCCTGCCCGGTATGCAACTCCAGAAGTGATTCTTTCATTCTATTCCCTTTATCAATTCCCATCATTTGATGGCAAATGTACCATAGTTTTCCTGATTCATGTAGTAGCACTGAGGGATGCTAGTTTTTGTTGTCTATCCATGGATATGTATATGAAACATGTCGGGTCAAAAGAAAAACAAAGAAAAAACAAAAAAGGAAAAGAAAATGGTTTCACTCTGTCCATGGATACCCCTCCCCCTCCCTCCTCAATCTGGTTGTTTTTGTAGATGGATCCCTCATTTAAAGATGCTCAAGTAATAAGTTGTAATTTTATTTCCTTTTCACTGTGTTGTCTCATCTTTTATGCCCATCTTTCAAAGTATAGTCATGTAAATATGTTCCATTACCTGCTGTCTGCTTAGATAATATAAATCCATCCATTACTGACGATTTCTTGTTGGAATGTGTTATAAGTACTATATAATAATAAAATAGTTGCATTCTTGTCATTATTTTTACAAGAGTTCTGCTATATGTATTTCTTAATCTTACTCCTTAAATTCTATTCCCTTACGTGGCGGATTCTGATAAGTTATTTTCTTCATGTAGGTCTTAATATAAATATTTACATCAATGTTTTGTATGTGAGAGTACAAGTTGAGAGTACAAAATGAAAATAGATGTAGCATTTTTCATTTTTACAATTTGTAGGCACTGTGGGACAAAAATTTTAGGTCACACGATGTGATGGGTTGTTTATTTATAAAAAGGAAAAGGTTTTTTTTTTTTTTTTTTTTTTTTTTTTTTTTTAAATTTATTTCTGTTGGATAATTAAAATAAATTGGTGGAAACTATTAATGCAAGGTGGGAGGAAGTCGAGGTTAGACTTTTTCCTCATATGAGTGATCCGAAAATATTGGATACGAGTCTGACCCAATAATGTTTTGCCTATATAGAATTTTGAACAAAAAATATCATTTGGTTCATAAACTAGGTCTACAATATAATCAATGGTGGACCCAGAAAACTTTTTCAGTGAGGCGAAACGCATTAAAACAAAATAGATAGTTTGATAAAAATTAAAACATTTAAAATTATAGTCATAAATATTGTTGAATGTGGACGAAAAATAAAACACATCAAAACTTTATAAAAAATATTCATAACAAAATATGAAATATAATTAATTTGATAAAATAATTCGAATAAAAAATACATTATAAACACATATCATTATTAGTATAAAAGAAAGTTATATATATATATATATACATATATATATATATATATATATATATATATATATATATATATACTCAATGTGCCTGAGATTTGTACTTAATGTGCGTCATGTTAATATGCATGAGTTTTGTACTTAATGTGCCTGAGTATTGTGTTTAATGTGCGTGAGATTTGTCTTAATGTGCATGCGTATTTCAGAATTACGAGCTCAGAAGGAAGCAGAACAGAAACTCACTCACATTAACGCCTAAGCTTCTTGTTACTTCTTCCTTCAATTTGGCCATGGATTCTAGATTATCAGCTACCTTCAGTGCAGTTGAATGTTTATATAAATGACGCACACACAGTAAAATTTGCACAGTAGCTAAGTGTGGATTTCTGTTGTATTATTCCCATAATTTTTAACCACCATAGCTCGCCTCTGCATCATCATCATCAGGAGGGGGCAAATGACTACTGGGGATGGGGAAGAAGCTGACATCAATATTTTCTGCTGCATTTTACACATTCACGAACATTAAGTACAAATCTCAGGCACATTAAGCACAACACTCACGCACATTGAGTACAAATTTCACGCACATTAATCCACCGCACATCCGCACGGGAACCTTTCAATATATATATATATATATATATATATATATATATATATATATATATATATATATATATATATATATATATATATATATATATGTGTGTGTGTGTGTGTGTGTGTGTGTGTGTTTAAATCTCACAATTAATTAATACGAAGTATTTAAAAGTCATATAAAACATAACATACACACCTTGACACCTAAGTAATATAAGGGGTAAATCTGCACAAATACTGAAGATTTGAACCCTGGCTACTTGCAAAGACACGCCATGCACCTCACCCCCTGATCTACTCATCTTTTGTTAACTTTTATCTATTTTATTATACTTATACTAAAATTTGTACTATATATACATATATACATACAAGGGTTATATATGGGGTGGGGTGAGTGGGGGCAGCTGCCCCCATGCTGGGTCCGCCCCTGAATATAATAATATTTTCTTTTTATTCTTATGTATAGTACTAGTTATCACACTTTGCCGGATTAAATCAATATCCCGTGTGTATTTTTAAATTAGTGTTTCTTAATTGGTTAGTTAGAGTGTTCGTATAGTAATGAGAGAGAGAAAAATGCTAAATTAATAAAAGATAAAGGTTTTCAAAAAAAAAAATAAAAGATAAAAAAAGGGTCTCGGTACTTATATTTTAATAAAGGAAAAGTGTCAAATAGGCCACTGAATTTTTACACATTTTGCAATTGAACCATCGAACAAAAAAAGTGTGCGATTGGACAATCGTAAAAGTCTATGAATGGTAAAAGCCTAATCTTTGACAATCATAACTTTGATAACCTTGACTTTGTTCTTGATCAATAGTATTCTTGAGTTTAAATTTCATGACTTCTTATTTTTCTCACTCCGTGAAGTCAAACTCTTTTAAAAATCAAGTGTACATTCTTAAATGTTTTCCTTGAACTCACTTCCACATTGGTTCAATTGTTCTTCTCTATCCCGGTCGAAGTTTCGAGGATGAAGCTTGTTTTTAAGGTGGGTAGAATGTAACAACCCAAAAATTTTCATTTCAAATTAAACCCATTTCATAAAAGCTAGCTAAAATCTTTTCCCAATATTTTGTTCCTAAGTTGACTAGTGACTTGAATAAATAAATTATTCATTCCAGATCCTTGTACTGGAATGACTTAATACAAAAGTCTATTCATGTGCCTTAGTTGTAGAGATTCAATTTGGGAAAAAATATTCTTTTGTCAAAAGGTCAACCCAAAAGTCAATATTAGAGGAACTGTGAACCTATTAGTCAAATTTTGACCCAAACTTAATTTCAAAGTGAACCTACCCTACTTTTATATTTATTATGTTATATTTTAGTCCAAATTTTGACCCGAAATTATAACCCAAAGCTCAAAACCCAAATTTCCATTTTACCCTCCCATCGTGGCATGAATGAGCTGAAATTGTGGCCTAGGATTTTGTGCCCTAGGTATTTAAGGCTATTGTTTCATCAGAATTTTCCCATCCCTCCACACTCTACTCATTTTCATTTCATTCTCCTGAGAAACCAAAAGAGAATGAGGCAACACAAAGAGTAAGATTTTCTTCATCTCTACCATCCATTTTTAATAGGGGTGTAAATGAGCCGAGCGGTTCGCGAGCCGCTTGGTCAAAACTCGGCTCGAGCTCGAGCCGAACTCGAGCGGGTCGTTTAGTAAACGAGCCGAGGTCGAGCTCAAATATTCTAGGCTCGCGGCTCGTAGAGCCGCTCGCGAGCCATAATTAAGTAAAAAGATAAATATATATATATATATATATATATATATATATATATATATATATATATATATATATATATATATATATAGAATTGCACTCAGGTGCGAATAAAGTGTCCAGGAAGGAATATACGAACCAATCAGCATGCGACACGTGTCCAGATCTAATAGATTAAAAAAACACGGTGGCATTTTCGTAAATAATTGAACATCGAAGTGCAAGTAAAATATATTATAGGTGCAAGTAAAATTTACACTGAGCATCAATACGAAGTGCACCTATAGTTATAAGTAGTTGCACCTATAGGTATAAGTAGTTGCACCTATAGGTATAAGTAGTTGCACCTATAGGTATAAGTAGTTGCAGCTATAGTTATAAGTAGGTGCACCCAGGTGAATGAATGGTTGCGGGAAGTGAATGTCAACAAGACAAAATTACATGCACTTATAGGTGAAAGTAGGTGCACCTATAGTTATAAGTAGTTGCACCTATAGTTATAAGTAGGTGCACCCAAGTGAATGAATGGGTGCGAGAAGTGAATGTTAACAAGACAAAATTACATGGACTTATAGGTGAAAGTAGGTGCACCTATAGTTATAAGTAGGTGCACCTAGGTGAATGAATGGTTGCGGGAAGTGAATGTTAACAAGACAAAATTACATGCACTTATAGGTGAAAGTAGGTGCACTTGTAAGTGATTTTACTTGCACTTCGATGTTCAATTATTTACGAAAATGCCACCGCATTTTTTTGAATCAATTAGATCTGGACACGTGTCGCGCACTGATTCGTTCGCATATTCCCTCCTGGGCACTTATTCGCACCTGAGTGCATCCCTATATATATATATATATATATATATATATATATATATATATATATATATATATATATATATATATATATATATATATATATATATATATATATATATATATATATATATATATATATATATAATACTTAAAACTCGCAAAGTAGGAAAACCCTAAATCTATTGTACTTTTTGAATTTTTTAAAGGTTTTATTATTTATGTATGGATAAAATAATATTTATTATTAATTAAAATATGAACTCAAATAGGCCAAACTCGAGATTAAAATTGAGCCTGAACTCGAGCTCAAATCAAGCCTGAGCTCGAGCGGCTCGAAAAATTGTCGAGCCGAGCTCGAGCCGAACCATGCTTATCGAGCTCGAGCTCGAGCCAACCCATGCTCGAGCTCGGCTCGGCTCGTTTACACCCCTAATTTCTAAGACTCTTCACAAATTCTTCTCTTATTTTTCTTCTTCCTTCATCTCACAGTAAATATGTGTATGTGTATGTATGTTGTTCAATGTTTGGGTTGTTGTTGTGGTGTGCTCAAGAAATGGAAATGGTGGAGGTGGAGGTCTAGCTTGAGGATGGAGATAGGAGGACTCTTGAGGTTGAAAAGCTTGAGGTATACCCCATGGATATCCAAAATGAGTTATTTTTCCTAAATGTGTGTTTTATGAGTATTGAGTGTTGTTATTGATGAATGAGCTTGATAATGAGTTATATCTTGTGTTTGAGGTGTGGAGAATGATGTATAATGTTGTATTGTTGATGCTTTGCTTGGATGGTTTGATTGGAGGTGTTGTATCAGGTTGGAAGTGAGCAAAATGTCCAAATGTGGATCAAGAACATAAGAGGCGAGGCAGTGTCTCGTCGGCGTGCGGGTTCACCCGCAGGTCCCTGAAGACCCGCCAACAAGCCCGCATACCTGGTGGCAGGCCCTTCGCGGCCTGCCATTTCGAACCAGGCCACGCGGGTGGCATGGCGGGTCTCACGAGACCCGCCACCCAACCCGTGGCCTAGGGCCTGGAATTATTTTCGGGACCGCCACTTGTGTTTTGC